TCTGCCTGAACGCCTGCATTGAAAAAGGGCATCACCGCGTCGCGGCAGCGAGTTGAGCCTGCCTTACATCAGTTATAAATGACTTTGCTGCTACCTGCCACATTGTTCACACAATGCAGCGGTGAGAAATTTTCAATAGGAGCAAGGTAGGCTTGTCAAGCGAAAGTAACCACGGGTGTCTAGCTTTAAGGCAGATTTGGGTAGGGAGTCGGCGAGTAGGGAGCGACTGATCGACCAACCCCGAGTAGCAGACGTGGTCGGCGAAATGTTCGCTTCCATTGGTGTGACCGAACGACAAACGCATTAGAGCTAGCACCGAATGTGTGCGTTCGGCCCCACTACTCGGGATTCGGCGAGCAGCCGCTCGTTACTCGCTTCACGCCAAACGTGAGCCGCCTTTAAGCTACGCACCCACCACCAATCCTCGCCGGACACTTCAACCTCGCGCCGACCGCAAATCTGTCATTACCGCTTTGTTCCGCGAGGCGCGAACAATACAGCGGGTAGCAGCAACGAATTTACAAGCGGCGGCAAGGCACGTTCGCCAATCGGGGCGCGTCCTTCCCACGGCGCGGCCGCGGCGCGCTTCGCAGCAGCGCGGCGCGTAACAGAGCATTGGTTTGGATGGAGGCCTTCCCACGTGCAGCGGGTGGCGGCTGATGCGGCAGCCGACGCCGAACTCCAGCTACGCGAAGCGGAGGAGGGGGCACGCGCCACCGCTAGCAGAACACAGCTTTAAATGGGAGCGTTCCCACTGCGCCGCGGCCGCAGCGTTCTACCTGCTCCAGTCCCTTTGTTCGCCGTCGCTGGAGGGTCGGCGAAACCTACCCCTCCAGACCCCCACCCCCTTCCACGGCGAGCAGCGGAGCGGCCGTGGCTCCGGCGGTGGCTGCGTCGGAAGAGCTCTGCTCCTTGAAGGAAGCGCGCCGCGGACGCGCCGTGGGAAGGCGCCCTTAGCGGACGCGCCCAGTCCTTCTCCTCAACACAACGATCCACGCGCGAGCTGTCCTCCCCCGCGCCCCCTGGCCGAAGAAGCGCTCTCTTCCGATGCCACAAAGCCCGAAGCGGTCGGAACGGGTCCGCCGCGGCGCGCCGCGGGCGGAGGCCGGCGCACCCGTATATCCGCCAGCGACGGCTTTGTGAAGGCGCAGCCCACAGTTAAGACGCTCATAAAAGTTTACGGCGGCGGAGGGTGAGCGTCCCCCGGAAGTGTTTCCGCGGCGGCGGAAGTGAGCCCGCGGGAGTTCACGCGAGCGGAAGTGGACCGCTCGCCGGCGGACGCCACTGCGACGGATTTACGGGAAAGCGGAATTGTCCTAAGCAGGCCAGTTCAACGACGATGACGCTCAGTGAAGATTCATTTATTTATTGTTTGGCTTTAATGCAGGCCACCAGAGGTGGTTGTTTCGCAGCGAGGTGACTTTCGCAACTAGAAGGCTCTTCGTAAAACGCGAAATGAATGTGAGAGCAATGGGAGTGGTGACAAGCAAAATGGTGATGCATTATGGAGTGGTGGAGAATTGGTATAGAGGCCAAACGGGAGAGCCCCGAGAAAGCCAGTCTAGAATCTCTTTATACGATTACAAATTCCACAAGAAATGACCAAAAATTGAACCCTGGTAAGAAGAGGTGCTAGAAAAGCAGCCTGATCAGTACACCACGATTCACCCACAAGATCCAAAACATTTTGATAGTTCTCAAGTCAGTTCTTGATGTCAGTGTTGAAAGTAGATACTTGTAATACGTTTCTAACGAGACACACAAAGCACGTGTACATTTCTAATGAATAAATAACATATCAGGCGAAGTGGTAGGCTTTTAGACTCGTGTTGGTCTTGGCTGTCTGTGAGACGTCGCGTCGTGTCGAAGGACGAACGAAACGTGGGAGTGGCAGTCTTCGACGCTCCCAACCTAGCACTGCCAAGAACAACATGAATTGTCAAGGCAAGCCCAGTCCATAGGCTAACGACTGGAATTTATGACACAACATAATATATACCCTATTTTACTTGAAGAAAACTTAGATCTCCTATACAGACTATCGCGACCTAGTTCTAACAAAACTACTGCTTGAGTGAGTCCGTGACTTGACATCACACCGACGGTGCCTTCCCGGTACACATATGCCGCACCACTATTCCATTTCACCAATGAACAAATGACGCCCAGCGACCGGTAGGTACATGCCTCGTCGGACGAAAGTTCTGTGCGCGGGCACAGAATCAGTAAGACTCCCACCAACGCGGCGTCGAGTTAAAATATAAAACATAAGTCCATCCAATATGTTTTCAGGCCGCTGGAGTGTTACGGAAAAAAACGTTTCATTTCATTCATTTTTATTTTTAAGTTCGTCCGCATGCTATTCTTGCGCGAAGGATTAAAATACAGTACTTGATGAACTATAAAAGAGCCAAATTTTGACTCTGGAAGAGTAGTTTTGATGAAGATCGTGTCGAAATCCTGCCGAATTCATTTTCGTAAAATTGAGAAAGGAAAAGATGTTTTTCAAAAACCAACAAAATAATAAACTATTTTGTTACTGCATCATTGCATTTTTTGTCCTTGTTCGCTTGTTTTTCAAAAATGGTAAATTAGATGAAACACGCATACCGCAAAACGGGTGCAATCATTTTAAACTAAATACAGATATATTTTATATCGAATGTTCCTCACTGAAAGTTTTCCCCCACAATAATGCGAATAAGGCAAGGAACTGTAAAACATACGATTGTAAGGTTACAGTACATCCCCAGAAAGATCTAACGTTTAATGTATGGATGTCGAATAAGAGATATTTTTCTGAGACAGTTAAGAGAAAAAGAAAAAATAAGAAACATTGATACTTTTTTGAAAGTGTGTTTATTATTTTAGCTTCAAGTAACTTTCACACACACGCGTACGTATGACATCTACGGTGAGATCGGAGTTGGTCAGAACATTCCTTCACTGGTGCTATATCGCGCCTTCTACATCGTTGAGAGGGTGGATGTTTTACGCGACTATTTCGAGGAACAATAGAAGTCACACGTACGCTATGTGTATTTTTATGAAATTTTATATTCTGTTACTAGAGAAACAAAACCAGATGAAACGAACGATTATTTTTTTCTTATTTTTCGTAAAGAGAAACAGGTCTATACATTAGCACACACTGTGGCGTTCCAAAGGTATGTTTCAAAATGTTTACATTGAGCCGCATTTTTCTGAAAAAAAAATCGTAGTTCATACGTTTGCAGTACCCTTCGCCTCTGTTTTCGTCAGAAAATACTTTTCAATCACGGTCACGTGTCCCCTTTTTTGCCTTGTCTTCACATTTTCTCTCTCTTAATTTAAGCTCGTACGTGTCCGTTCAAAAAAGACTCTAGGCCGTTCACTACTATAAAATTAGTTTTTAATTTAAAAGAACACATAGTTTTATCTTTTGCCATAATAGAGAGGAAATTTCGTAACTATTGAAAGGAAATTCATAATAATTGACATTTGTGTAGAATTACACAAAAATATATAACGTGACATTTTAAAATAAATACAATTCTTTCTCGAGTAGGCTGATCATAGCTGCGTAAAACCAGTGTCACATCAAAATTTGTCGCTCAATCATTTTGTTGGGGCATTCATTTCCGGGGACTGTCTCACTACTCTAGTTGTTTAGTTGTAGTTTTATAATTTTTTGGAATGTTTTTACGTGACTTTATTTTCCTCGCATACGTTGCACAGTGATGACCCTACCGTCCCCCCTTCTTTTTTCGGCCCCCCTGAAATGAACACTGGAGGTTTCCGCGAGGCCGTGGGGGAGACGGGCTGTGGGCGACTTGGCCTCAGCGAAAATCGAAGCGCCGCGCCGCGCCGCTCGTCCCACCTTGCGCGCTCGGCCATCGCGTTGCGACAGCCACTGCGGAGGAGCGCCCGACACGACGGCCCAGCGGATGCGAACTCGCCGTCACGTGACATACCCACAGCCCCTGCCAAACACGCTGCTCAGCCACGAGGCCGGGGAACGGAGATAGGTGGACGCTTACCTGCCGCTTCTTTTCACTTCGTTTTGTGTAATATACGACTACTTTTCCCTCGAGTTTAAGATGAATTCACTCAATTGGGAAAGTATGGGTTAAGCGATAAGCATTCCACAATCTTATAACACAACAAGAACTTCATAAACCAAACGTCCCACAATCAGATAACTGTTTTGAGATTAAATTACTTCCTATTCTAATTAGAGCGACTCGGGATAACGTAACAAAAGCGCCTTCTAGGTGAAATTTGCGCGGCCAGTTCTGTCTTATCAATTGGCACTATCGCCCCCACACAGCAAAAGTTGCTTCAGAGTTCAACGTATGATAGGCGTCGTGACCTCAGCAAGCGGCAACGCCTATGCACAGAAGGGACAAAGAGGTTTCTTTTCCCTGAATCTCAAATCTCAATTTTGGCCTATACAATGTGTGACTCCCAGCGGCTCAGTGCACCTTTTGCACCACCTCTTTGCACCTTAAACTTTAAAAAGAATCAAAATAAAAGAGTGCCTATTTTAAAAAAATATGTGAAGCTAAGTCGTATATGTAACAAAATAATATGGTAAAAATGAGCAGTTATTATTTCATTTTTTAATTTAAATTTGACCAAAATATTTTATAACACTATTTTGTTACATTTTAACACATAAACTACATTGAAATCTGCCTGATAATTCCGGTTTAATTTGACGCTGCACTCGATTCAAAATCCCTTTCTCCAGAAATTTAATGCTTCTAATGTTTATAGGGCCACTATATGATTTAACAAATAGTGTTATTTTAAATAGTATCTGTTAATTCTTCTTGTCTGGTTCTATAGCCCGCTTCAAGACAAGATCGCTCCCGGCGCTTGACGGAGGTTTTCTGGATCATCAGGATGGGATCAACCCATCATGCAGCCGCAATCATGGGAATGGGAAAAAGATAAGAAAGGAAGGATCACACACAGGCCATGGCCCGTTTTGCAGGAAGCCAATCCAGCACTCGCTTGAAAGTGATCCGGGAAACCACTGCTGAGGGAGTTCGATCCCGGCAGGTCCTACAAACTACCTCAACCCAAATGTAAATTCGTGACAACATGCTGGATCGAACCCGCCACCTCTCAGTCAAGAGTATGCTCCAGCCATAAGACCTCCACACTGCTGCAGGCATAGGTAATTTACTAATTAAATAATTGAAATATACCTCATCGCACCAGCATAACAATCTCTGAAAATGTATTCGTCAACAATTTCAAGATGAGAGTCATCATGAGGTATGAAAGCACAA